CCATGTTTGCTACTGATATTCCTGAACTACTTATTCAGCAGTTTATTGCATCTTCTGTGTAAAAGGAAAATAGTAATACACAAAAAAAGAAACTGAAATAAAAATTGACATCACCTAGACTGCAGTGCCAAGATAACAGGGATGTAAACTTTGCATACAAAGAATGAGGAATTAAGCATGAACTCTCAGTCCTCTTGAGCCTCTTTGCTACTAGCAGTCCTATTACTGTTGTGTTGGAGTAAAAGTAGGTAAAATATTTGTCAGAGAAGCAGTAACACAAACAAACTAACATCTCTACTTCTCTTGCACAATTATATGATTAGCAAAGTAGAACAAAGCTCCCCAGTGCAATTTTTTGCTCCTGTGCAATTTCCACAGCAATGATGTATGGTAAATCCCTAATAATCTCTAAACAGGCATTTCCTAATACAGATCAATTTATGATTTGTCAATTTTAAAAGTTGGCTAATCCTTGACACATTGAAAGTCCAGGGAATTTTTTGATTTCCACTAAAAATGGAAAATGCCTACAAAACATGAAATGCTGCCACTACCCCAACCCTCAGTTAACTTAGAAATATGACATGGGCTTAGTAATCATTCTCCTAAAGAAACTTTGCACATCATGGAGCCTTTTTTAGAACTTGAAGGTGTAAATTAAGCAACATCTGAGAAATGTGATTTGTTGCACATGTGTGTTCAGGCATGCTGCTTCATCTCACCTGGAAACATGGGGCAGCAAGAATGAGACAACAGAGTGATTTATGAACCCAGACATAAGAGAAAAAGCAGTTAGAGCTACCACTGAAATTTGCAATATGCGTATTTGTTTGACGTTAAAGCAAAAATCTGTAATAAATTTTCCTCTTATACACACCAGCCGGCTTTGGACAGACTTCTTACTCATCGGTGTGGACAAAGACACAGGAAGTACAGAGATGTTAAAAGTGAATTACTCGGGTATCATAACCAAGCTGCCTGGAAATTGAGCATTTCTATGCAGATTTTTTTCACTGCATATTTTTCTCTTTATAATTTACCCCTTGTTATAATTTGTTCAGTCCTCTAAAAGCATACAGAAATCCCATCTCATCTTGCAGCAGTTGGAGGAAAACTGGCATCTTTCACTGACCATCTACGCATTGTTGCTCAAGGAGAATGTAGTGAGAGGAGCAGCTGGTCCAGAGGAGTGTCCTCAGAGCAGTGCAGCCCTGAGGGAGCAGTGCTGGCTCACCTGCACTGGCACTGCCCGCACACAAAGCCTACAGTGGGATGGGCACTCCAGTTGTGCCCTGATATTTTTAAAGTGAAGCAATTGAACACACAGACCTAAGTTCTGGTTTACTGAAGTCAGTGGATTATTTAACTGTTAGGAGAATTAAAAGGAGGTACTTAGACATGTTGTCTAGTGCTTTGCTTTGCCTTATTCTTGAGAGAGATTAGTTGTATAAACTGTGTTCAAAGAATCTGCAGCTAATACCTGATTTCCTATGACCAACAGCAAAGGATCTATTTTCTTAGTCCCATGACAGGAAAAGTGCTCTGTAGGTGGAAAGCAAGCTGCAGGTGTTTTTCCCAAAACCAAAAGAAACTGAATAGAAAATCAGAAAATTAATCTAGATTGGGAATACAGAAAGACCTAAACACAAGGTAGTGTCTTTTAAGGTATCCTTGCAAAGAATAGAAGTTGGAATATTTTCCTCAACAATAAAAATACTCACAAATGTAATAATACTTGACTCAAAGAGGAGTCAGGAAACTCAGTACAGGGTTTGTGTTCAGTTGCTGCTCCATACCTGGTTTGAAAGAAGTCACTCCCTGCCCAACACTCTCCACAACACCAGCTGCTTCATGCCCAAGAATTATTGGAAAAGGCATAACCAGTGCACCAGTTATCACGTGGTCATCAGAGCGACAGATCCCTGTGGCCATGATCTGATTTACAGCAAAGACAACAATATTTCAGCATTTAACTATGTCACGTCATATGTGGAAGTGAAATGATATCTTACCTTTGGAGAAGTCATTTGCTTTCCTCCAAAATCCAATATGTATGCAATAAATCTACAGGTAGCACAGTTTTGGTTGTGTGATTCAAAATTTTCATGGTTTGTATTAGTCTTTAATCTACAGAGCAAGGCTCCTTTGTGAATGTCTTCTCTGCAGTACTGAGCTGTATAGGTAGTCACATTGACTATCTGGCAGAACTAATGTTCTAGTAATACAATTATATAGGAAGAACAGAATAAATTAAATTATTCCTAATGTTTCTATATAAATACATAAAAAGAAAAGTTTACAATATTACAAAATATTACAAAATTATGTAAATTAACCACTACATATTTATAAATGTAGAAAAATTGTGCATAATTAATATTTATTATATTTAGATTATATGACCATATATAATAAATTATGTATTATAAAATGACACAGAAAATTACATAATAACTATTACATATTATTTATATATTTTAAATATTTGTATATGCTACATATACAAAAATTTAGGCTACACATAGTATTTTATATCACGTTTTGCCTTTTCTTGCAGCTAAAACAGCAGTATTTCTTTTGAAATATTCAGGTATGTATTTACAACTTTTATTCTGACAAATGGAGTTGTTAACTGCAGGAGAGGGTTTTCTCACTTCTGTAACACTTGAAGCTGCTCTAAAATGAAAACTTAAAACTGCTCCTGAATTCCACTGAGATCAATATCCTGGTAAAAAAGAAAGCTCCTAGCCCTACTGGGCTATTTCCTAGCACAGATTCAAACAAAGTAAAAGAAAATTTCTTGCTCCACTCTACGGGAGATTCTGATTTTTTTCCTTGTACTGTAATTTTTTCAGCTTATTTGAAAAACAAGTGTCTGTAAACAAAAAAGCCAACCATGAAATTTTTTTTTTTAAGAAACTCATTATCAAATTTAGGACTTTAAACATGTTCTGTAGGAGCTCACTGATAAGTAACTGCTCTCTAGTAGAATGTTTTCTGACCGGATCTTAAAAATCTATAAAAATAATTCTGATAAAAAGCAAGACAGAATGCAAGTCATAAGAATTGTTCTAAATTTTATTTTTAGTACCTTTATGCGAACTTCATGCTCTTTTGGTGGGGCCACTTCCACTTCCTCAATACTAAATGGTTTATTGGCTTCCCACATTACTGCTGCTTTGCATTTAATAACCTGCAAACAGAGTAAAGAAAACAGGAATGGCACTTGCATTTTCAAGTCACCACAGAGATTCTTATATTTCTGCATGTGAAATTCCTGCTCATATCTGTGGAGAAGAGAGGGAAAACTACAGGAAAAACCCCAAACAATACATAGCAAAAGAGCCAACACCAAAGGACAGTGTAAGCCCATGTTTTTCCTCCACCAAAATCGTGTCTGACTTTGCTCATATTTCTGTCACATCAAGTTTTTGGCAGCATGTATAACAGTCTCCAGGATAACTGAATACCTTGTTCATACTAATTGGTCCTTCTCTAACTTCCTTGGATGATTTTTTTCTGCCATGTCAGTGATTATTTGTGTATATTTGTGTCTTCTTGGAGATGGCACACTAAATGATGCCATGTATCAGGTGGTGATAAAGTCTATGTTGCCTAGAACTGCCTGTGTTGAGAACTGACAAAATTACTAAAAATAGAATTCGGAGCCTAATACAGGTTTATAAATGTTTTAGCAGAGCCCAAATTCAGCCATGAGGTGATGGCTGAAAGGACACCTATGCAAAATGGTGCAGCAGTAGGCAGAGGTAATCTTGAACAGTACTTTCAGCACAATATTATCCATGCTTAGGTACCTTCCTTCTCAGAAGGGACATTTAGCTCAGACGGGGTTACTACCCAAGACAGCTTTTTTTTTTTTTCCCCTTGTCTGTTAGGTTAAAGTTTGTCCATTAGTTCTTCAGGTTTTGTCCAGGTACTGACAGCTCTTAGGGTTCCTCTGACCATCTGCCACTGAGAGAAAAATACATTCAGAAGAGAAAGGAGCATTGTTCACCCTCAGGCTCTCAAACAGAAGGTTTCCTCTCTGCAGTCTCAATCCTAGTGTATTCAAAAGCAGCACGGCCTCTCTGTCCCCGTATCTATTCCTGTCCTTCCTTGGTGGTCTCAGCCCATCTCAGATCTTTAAACAACCCCAGGCCTTGGAGTATGATTTTCTGTGACAACCTTATGAGTGACATAGTACCCTCAGTCACTCTAATAAAGTCTACTGACTGCAAGTGTTTGGGTGGCATTATCTTGAGAGGGAAATGGAGGGGAATTGAGTCCATGATGGAGGAAGTTTAGCACATGCATGAGTATCCTGCATCACTAGGCCAACTTAACTCCAGCGTGCTGCAAAATTCACAGGGGAAAACAAAAAAACAAACAAATTTTTCGTATCAAAGCTTTTGAAGTAGAAGTAGAAATAATGTCTAGTTATCCATGAACTGTAAACTGGTAACAAAGGAAATAATTACTAGGAAATACTAAACATATAAAATATCAGCAGCAAGACACAAAGTGGGATGGGAACAATGCTTTGAAAAAAGCTCCCTCAAGAGACATTTACACTAAATGTAACATTTCATGTGTCAAATGCGTGATTAATAAAATATTCACAAGTGAGACCAAAGATCACATTTTAAAGGGCCACATTTTCCAGGAAACTTATTTAAAAAAACCAAAAAAATGGTGATTTATGTATTTATATTGTATCACACATAGCATGATGATGATTTTATGACTTGCACATGCAAAGAACATGTAGTGTTTCCTAGAACAAAGGTAGCCAACAAGTGTGGATTGCTGAGAACAAACAAATCTCTCCTATAAGACATTGGTTAACTGTGTATTGTTCTGGTGGTTGCGTCCCTGAGAACGTTTACGGATTACGAGAGAATGCCACAGATGCACCACCAGCACACTATCACCCACTTCATCTGTCAAGACAAGCACTGGTTGGAGTCAGTTTTTTTTCTGTGTGTTCTACCAGCCCTGCAAGTTACTGTGGTGGGGGAGGGTAGGTGCAGAAACACACCCTTTTACAGGGCATGAGGATTATGCTGCTTGGTTACATAAAATGCATGGTAGCTCCCACATCATTCCAAGATAAACATGGTGAAATCAAGGCAGTTAGGTTACATTACAACACTTCACTTACTATGCTTAGCCCAAGGCTGGGTAGAGAACTGAACTTGATGAATCTATCTACAAGTGAGCTACAATTAATTTTGCATTTGCAGTAATTCAAAGAGAGCACTTATTTTTTTTTGACTTTCTCTTGTTTTAGTTGGTTTTAGAATAGAGAAGAATGCTGGCAGTAACAGCAAATGATCCTGGTACTTTCTTAAGGCACATTACAGCAAGGTACATGCTTTCAGTTGTTTTCTATTTCTAGGTTCCTTGCCCATCAACCTCTCTTGCAGGTCCCTGGGTGTATGTTAGCACCTCAGCAGTAGTGCAAGAAGCAATGGGTATTGGTATTAACCTACATCTCTCTCGTCACTTATTTTCTAGCAAAGATGTACCTACTCATTTTAGTCCCAGCTCAGTACTGCATTGCATATGAAACTTACTTTTGGTCTTCATTAACTTAAGTTTGAGACTTGTTATCTACATATTCAAATTTAATGACTGTCCTAATGTCAGCACAATTACACCCCAAAATTTAACACATATTAGCTATGTCATTGTTTTAGAATTTATGAATCATAAATAAGATAAAAATAGTTTAAACTGCCGGGGGATCTCAGAATGGAAACTGATAGAGCAGATAAATACATTGATCTGAACACTTACTACATTCTATCCTATTTTAAACTATCCAATCAAAGATTAAAAATAGTTTGCTAACGTAGAGAGGAAGTTATTCTTGTTTGAGTGCTGTTACCTCATGTTGCCTCAAATAAACTATTGCCTTGAAGAGTTAACAACCATTTTCTAGGAGAGTACAGTGACCTGAAAATAAAGACAGTTCTCCTGTACCAGCTTCATCCTAAACTCTCATCTGGTGCTGTACCACCAGGACTTACGGTGTCCCTGGAAAGAATTTGCATTTAAAAATGCATTACTCAGCTGCAGCAAAGAACCTATTCTAATATGAACTTTTGCTTACTTTGCCTGCTGTGCTCATGTTGACTGGTCTGTCTGTTTCGAATCTTGCCACCAAGACTTCACTCAGCCTCAAAGCAGTCGAGTTGCTGGCACCACAAGTCCTCTTCAACACACTGGAAGCTGGTCTTACAAAGTGCTCCTGAAAGTGGAGCTCCGATCTTTTAGCCAAGCCTCCCAGCTCAGAGTCCCACCCCTTAATCAGAAAAAGTGCTAGAATGAAAATAAACCACTTATCTGATGAAACCTCACTTTCTACATTGCTTCCGTCTTCCTGATTCCTTTGTCACACTCTTCCCTACCCTTTTTTTACATCCCTCAGCATCACAGGAAGAAAGCAAAAGCCCTGGCTGAAAGCTTTTTCCCTCTTTCCACCTCTCTGGGAGCTGCTCTCCAAACCCACTACTCTCAGTAGCACTGTATGTGCAAAGAGAAAAGGGGGGAGTGGCTCTTGAATTCACAGTGACAGGAACACAGTGAGAACATGAAGGCTTTGCTGATGAACTTTGGTGACACTCGTAAGAGTCCAGGTGACATATTAAAACGTGATTGTGCAAGCTTCTTAAGAAACATACACTCACTGTCTGCCTGCAGCTGTACCAGCTCCCGAATTCTTAGTTTTCCAGTCCGGCTACTGATTAATCTGTTGGAATGGTTTTCACTTCATAGTGTCCAAGGGCAACGTGCCAGTCATGCTGATTGGAAAACAAAAATCAGTAAGTCAGCAAGAACAGCTGGGGCAGAATGCATGTATCTGATCAGACACAAGACCCTGCTTGATTTGTGAGTGCCTGACCCATCGGTTCCATCAACACCCACAAGCACAGGCCCCATCACTGCTCATATATCCACACAGCCTCTCCTGGCACAACGTGCTGGTGCAAGGGATTGGGTGGAGATCAGCACTGCATGCCATTGCTGTGGACTTCTTTTCAAATTATGCTCAGCATTCTAAATCAAGATTTTTCCTTCAGAAACAAGCAAAAAAGAGATAAAATGCTGCATATAATCTGACTAGTCCAGCTGGCCGCACTGTTCCTGATACAGGCCAGGATGCCATTGGCCTTCTTGCTCACTTGGGCACACTGCTGGCTCATGTTCAGCCAGCTGTCAAACAGCACCCCCAAGTCCCTTTCCTTCAGGCTGCTTTCCAGCCACTCTGTGGCTGCTTTCCAGCCTGTAGTGCTGCATGGGATGGTTGTGACCAAAGAGCAGGACCCAGCACTTGGCCTTGTTGAACCTCTGTGCTTGTTTTGGCTGGGGTAGGGTTAATTTTCCTCCCAGTGGCTGGTATGGGACTGTGTTTTGGATTTGTGCTGGACACAGTGTTGATAATATAGAGGTGATTTTGTTATTGCTGAGCAGGGCTTACACAGAGCCAAGGCCTTTTCTGTTTTTCATACTGCCAAGGTGGCAAGGAAGTTGGAGGTGCATTGGAGGCTGGGAGGAGACACAGCCAGGACAGGTGACCCAAACTGACCAAAGGGATATTCCAGACCATATGGCATCATGTTCAGTATATAAACTGGGGGAAAAAGGAGGAAGGTTGGGGACATTTGGAGTGATGGCATTTGCCTTCCCAAGTCACCGCTATGCATGATGGGGCTCTACTCCTGTTAACGTATTTATAGAAACATTTTTTATTGTTGTCTATGGCAGCAGCCAGATGAAGTTCTATTTGGGCTTTGGCTCTTCTAATTTTCTCCCTGCAAAAGCTCACAACACCCTTGTAATCCTTCTGAGTTCCCCTCAAAATTTTCCTCATCTCTTTAGCTATATGCATATCAAAGCCATGACTTTTTTTTTTTTTTCCAGGGAGGGGAGATGAGGCCATCTGGAAATTATGTCCTTCTGCCAAAGTGAGTGCCTTCAACTGAGAACACTGGACAGTGGATCCTGTCTGCAGCCTGCGCAGCGGTAGGTGGCAAGGTCTTTAGGAAGAAAGGACTGCACCTGGTGCCAGAGAAGCATGAGCCGACTTACGTAACTTGTGTTGCAAAAGCTGCTTTATTTGCCTTGCTCTGCCCAACTCCTAAAAACAGTGAGGGTGAGGCTGCAGCTCAAAGTGTACAATGACCCTTACATGCAGATAACCTACAGTGCCGCCCCTTTGTGACTTGCTGGCATAGGCCCACTGGCTCAACCCTTTGCTCTAATACTTGCCAAATGATACTTAACTGATCCCTAGACCCATCCTCTCCCCTTTTAGGGCAGGTTCCTATGAAGGGAACTTTTCTTTATGTTTATCTACATGTTGTATTCCTTCTTATGCAATTAAAATCCCTTCTTTCTGGTGAGCACTGACAGGACCTGAGGGAATGGCATGAAGCTGTGTCAGGGGAGGTTTAGGTTGGATATTAGGAAAAGGTTTTTCACCCAGAGGGTGGTTGGGCACTGGAACAGAGTCCCCAGGGAAGTGGTCACAGCACCAAGCCTGAGAGAGTTCAAGAAGCATTTGGAGAACACTCTCAGGCACATGATGTGACTCTGGGGCTCTCCTGTGCAGGCCCAAGAGTTGGACTTTGATGCGGGTCCATTCCAACTCAAAATATCCTATGTTTTTCTGGATATATGATACAAAAATCCTTTATCAGCTTTTTATCTCACTTTATCCAGCTGAACATGACGGACTAATATTCTCCCTCCAATGATTTACTAACCTCAGCAGATGCCAGTGAAATGTTGTGCCAGAGGCAGAAGAGAAAGAACATTTTGGAGGTGTTCATGGCTGGTGAGCTTGCACACAAAAGTTAGAAGCAGTGGACAAAGACCTGTTCATGCAACTCCAGGCCGTCTTCACTTGGGGACTGTAACCTGGGCAAATGACATGAAGCATTGGCCATGCTCAGCAGATCGTAGCCATAGCTGCAGTTTCTGACTACAAGGCACTTGTAGTGGAAGGTGGTTCTTGTTTACTGACACTTCACAGGCAGTACAACCTGCTTCCCACTCCTCACTCCTACCAGGGCTGAGCAGCCTTGCACTGCTTGCTTTCCTGAAGCAATGCATGTTGACTCTAGGTAAGAAAGTGAGGAGTTTCAGAAACAGCTTTCTTTTAACATAAAATTAATTCTTCTGCACCAAACCTGACTGAATTTAACAGGAGAATACTTTAACCACAGCTCAAGTGACTTAACTCTTTAGAGAAAAGAAGGTTTAAGGGCAGTTATGCATCACAGATTTTAGTGGCAACTATACACTCTGCCCTACAGATTATAAAATGCATACTAGCTTTAGCTAAAACTTAAGCAGTTTTAAAACTAGGTTACATTCTCCTTGTCTACATTGCTAATTTTTAAGCTTACCAAGGTACATGCATGTTTCTTTTCAGACAGTGATTCTGTTGAAATTGAAAATTCAGCATTTTTTTCCTACTGTGTGATAGCAATTTTCAAGTTACTCTTTATGAGTCTCTTGTTCAGAGCTTGGTAACACAAAGGATTCAGCTCTGGGATCCACATGGCAGTAGTAGGTAGGAAAAAAACCAACAACATCTCTGAAGTCTCACTCTACACAGTACAGAAGCTGTGACTGCTCCAACCCTTCTGTATTCTTCCATCTGCACATTTAAGGTTGTCCAAAAGATTAGGTACACAAAACACTGCAGGTGCTCATTTCTACTGAAGAGCAGAGATAAAACTGAGCAGCAGGTAGGATTCAGAGATTGCAGGCAAGGCAGGTTAAGCTCTTCAAAAAGCTTAGGGGTCATATCTGAGATTATACAAATATGCATGTCAAGGCAACGGAGCTGAATTAAACACATACGGGATGATGACATCTAGTTTTGTAAGAATGTAAACAAAGACATCCAGATATGAACACCTTTCCAGAACACACAGAAAATAAGTCATATGTTCATGGGACAATGTCTTATTCATTTTAATAAGCTGAAGAACAAAAGCCATAGGTGGAAGCTGCAAATTAGCTAAACAGTGGTTCTGAAAGTGTGAGTTTAGAGCAAGTATTATTTTGAAGAGAAAAATAATATCTAGGGAGAGTACTGAATCAAGTGTGAACACCCCTTTTTTAAATAATGCCTTTTCTTCCTTTTAGGTTTCTGAAAATAGCCAGACAAGGCAAACAAGAAGAAAAAAACCCACATCTTACATTACTTGAAGTAAAAATGGAGCAAAAGGGAATGAATATGAATCAAACATTTTACTATTTGGCTTTAGGATTGTCAGTAGTAGATGCTGTTGTCCTAGCTAACACAGCCACCTTCTTGGAGAGAGACAATTAAGCTACACATTTCAAAGATGGGCCAAAGTTTATTCAGCTTTAGATTTGGAAGTCACATGGAAATCCATCTCTGCTTTTCAGAGTAACTTACGACAAGAAGAATATGGGCTTACTCAAACCTTATTTTAAAACCTCCTGCAGAGTAAATGGATACTTTACAATAATATGAACCAGCACCAATAACTGTGTGGTGAACCCATGATCTTCAGTGTGATCTACAACACAGCCCAAGCAATCTAAAGTTCTGTTTAAGTCAAAGCAACGCTGGAACTCTTCAAATGTCCCTGACCTTATCCTCAAGCTCTAAGGACTTTAGGAATGCCACTCCTGCACTCCTGCAGCTGGCAGTCACACTGCCCCTAGACTGCCCTGAGCCCAGGTGGTGATATTGTTTTTCAGAATAACTGGTCATTGTGGATCCCCTCAGCAGCTGCACCCCTGTGCAGCATGCCAGCTTGCACTGCAAAAAACACTGTCAGCGGTCAACTTCTTGACCAAAACCTCTAAGATGGGGGTATTCAGAGAGGCTTTTTCCCACTCAAAAAATTCAGATGCCCTCCTGCAGAGTCATGTCTAGAATCAAACACTACTGCTCCATAAGCAAGCAAGGAGTCAATGAGCACGTATAACATGGGACATGTGGAAACCAAATCACAGACAAATTGACCTGAATCCAGGAAAAGGACAAGCAGGGAGACAGCACACTAACCTGCAGTAATGCAGTGTTTGGGAAATTGCCACAACACAGATGCAGATGAATGCTGCATGACTTCAGAAATCTGTTATCTCTGTCATATCCCACCCATAACCAGGGGCGTTGAGGCTCAGTGGGAGGGAACAAGACAACAGGCTTACTTATGGCATCTTCTTGTGATCTCCCCACTGCATGCCACTAAAAGAAGGTTTGCCCGTTTGTGCCTGAAGGTTTGACTTTCTGCCATATCCCTTTCATATTTTCCAACATTTTCTTTTCAGATTCATTGAACCATACCTTCTTTATTGCCTTTCTAATGTTTTACTAGTATAAATATCTCTGGCTGTATTCTGCTGTTCAGAAGCTGCTCAGGATTGTTAAGCAATAGTTCAGGCAATACCCGGAACTTCACAAAGCTTAGTGATGAAAATCAGAGCTTTCCTAAGCACAGCAATGACACCTGGTGGTGAAACACAGGGATCATGTTCTTCTAGAGCTTCTGTGCAGCTTCTTTTTTCATGTCCTATTCCTCAACTCCATCATGGCCAGGGAACATGAGGAGAGCACAGTGAAGCAGAGAACTTCCCTGCATGTTTTTCTACACTTTTGTTAACTTTGTACAGCTGAAGCTGGTTCAAAGCAGGACGTTTCTTTAAGAAATGCCTGAGAGCACTCCATGTAAATATTTATTCCTGTTATCAGAAACTAATTCCTTGTCTTTTCCTACTATAAAACAGTACAGTGATTTGTCTCTACTGTGTATGCATTAGTTGGCCATGCCTAAAATATGCAAGTGTGTCCATCTTGAAAACACTGAGAACAATACAGCCAGGTCTGGAGATTGCAAATGAGGAATAAATTTGATCTGATGCTGGGCTGATTTTCATGTGCTACAACCAATTCAACTGTTCTCATCAGTAACTTTATACTGAACTTATTGCAAGAATGATGCTTTAGGGCTTCTTGAGCCATCACTTCTCCACAGAGGACTTCTGCACAGCTGCAGCCTGCTGACTGAAAGCCAATCACCACTGTAGTGTGGTCGTGTCTAATGCTGCTGATTCCAGCAGTGAACAGTTGAGCACCTCAGGGCCCCTCTACTGGTCTTGATCAGAGCATTCGTCGTCAGAGTTTGACTTCGACCTCTTAGACTTTTTGCTGTTGTCGAAGTGCACCTCCATCTTCTCGTGTTTCGGCGATCGCAGTTTCTCTTCTAAGAAATCTCCGTCTACTACATAGACAACTTTCTTGTCAGTCTTAGAAACTTCTTCAGTGTGAGTCCAGGTCTGCCAAGAACAGCCTTTTCTAGACAGCTGAAAAACTGTAGGATATGAAAGGTTGAGGATGGCAGTGGTAGTCAGAGGGCCATGCCCATCGAAATCCCACTCTCCTCATTTACTGCTCCATCTCACCAGTGAACACATCCCACAGACAGCATCCAGTTCGTGAAAAGAGGCATGAACTTCAGCCTCATATGACCTGATTAGGTTAGCACAGAGAACAGGTAAACAGCATCAACACCAACTATGGGCTGAGGCACCAGTGAGCAACATACCAGACCAGTTAGGATGCCATGTCCTCACGTGCTTCAGCCAACTGGTGTGAAAGCTGTACTTATTCAGGCACTGCAGCTACCTGGCTAGTCCCTGGAGAAAGAAGGGATGGGGCAGGCTCATGGGGCTGAAGTGAAGCCTCACTTCCAAGGTGTCCACTTCACTACTTTGCAGAAACACTTAAGTTAGTTAGAAATCAGCTGAATCAGAACATCCAGCCAAGACTAAGATTATGACTTCTTTTTTAAAGGAAAATATTTGACGGACAATACATTACGAACAGGATCATGTGACTAAACAGGAATACTGAATCTGAGTAAGGGACTTGTAAGGAAGAGTTCCTGTATCCTAGGATTGTTCTGAAGCTGTGTGATAAATTTTGCTAAGGAGATGAAGAAATAATTAAAAGTCATTGTGTCACCTCAATTCAACATGCACAATGTGCCAACCAAGGCACATGATTTGCACCTGTGCTGACACCCATCCCACTCAAGCTCAAGTGTAAGCACTGCCTTAACCCCACACTCATATTTCATCTATTGACCCCACCTAACTAAACACAATATACAAACTGGGCAGTTCAGTTGATTGCAACTGTGTGTTGAGAAGTTCAGGAAAATGAGAATGTTTGTTTGTTTTGAGTGTTCATGCACACTTTGCAACAGGCACTAGTGGTGCAGGTTTTGGAGTCACAGGAACGCTTGTCATTAATTGCTTTTAAGAAAATTTAGAGTAGAAACAGAGAAGAATGCATACATTAAAATAGTAACTAGTAATGCTCTTGGCTATTACACCCAAATTTGTATGTATAAAAAAGTAATATTAAAAAATTAAATTAAACAGCTCCCTTGGGAAAAATAAATGCTACGTTTGCCATTAATTTCTTTTTTTTTCTTAAAGCTAATAATATTGAAGTTTCAGGGTAAAAAAACTGCATTTAACTTTACCCTTCACGTACACAAACAGCTTTAGGCAAACTACAGAACTACCGAGCACTGAGACAATTCAGTATTACAAAGACAGCAGATGGTCTTTGGAATGTAACTACTTCATGTCCCAGATTTATCCCATGAATTGTGTGTCGCATCTTTCCCATCATCTCCTTCTAAAGCCTAGTCACTGTCCGAGTCATTGTCTTCATCTTCTTTTCCCAACAGAGCATGTTTGGATGAATCATTGGCTTCTCCCAGAGGAACAGCCCCTTTCCTCTGTGGCAGGACACTGAAAAAGGCCTCCTTCCAGTCTCTCTTCTCCAGGTATGCAAGGATGATCTCGAACACTGCAACATCAAGAAAACCCATCAGCTCTCTTACAGGGAGATAAATGAACTGCTGATAGGAACACACCCCAAATCCATCCCATCCAGAGGCTCAGGTGTATTCTGTTGTGGCATCTTCACAGCGGAGCTGACGAAGCGCAGCCAGAGACAGACAAGGCAATTCTGCTACTGCTGCAGCCTAAAGCCAAGTGCGATCTGAGTCTCCAGTTGTGTGACAGCACCCACAGCACTGCTTTTCTGCAGTAGCTCCAGTTTTCAAGCCATTTCTCTCAGAGACAGAGAAATGCTCCCCCCCCCCAGTACTTCAGGTCTCACCAGTGCCTTGTATACAGGCACCAATGCTTCCCCATGTTTGACAGGAATACTGCTGTGGATACACTTTAACAAAGATTTTGACCCCTCCCTAACACACAGACAGCCCAAAGTCTTCCTAAAAACTATAATTAGCTTTTTTCTTTCTCTATAAAGCAACAGTTAAAGATCAAGTTTTAGAAACATGTAAAATCTTACAAATACATGGGGTTTGATAATTTTTAAGTCCAGAGACATACTATAATCTCCTCCATGTTTAAGTACTCTTTATTATCATGGAAAAATACACCTCACCAATCAACGGCACTTTAAGAAAACAAAGGTATCATTGAGCAATGTGTTACATAAAAAAAAAACAACCTTGGAAAAAAGCAAGGTAAGATAAAATAAAATAATGTGCAGTGAGGCACAAAATAGCCTTTGACACCATGTCAAAAATTTCCATAAAGATTTGAGTAGGCTCCATTTTACATGTATTTTTGTTTATTGACACTGAAAAATGATCTAGTAATAAAACTGGAAGTTTAAAAGGAGTGGGATTCAAGACTTGGTTAAGCAAGTCAATGCTTCAATCAGAACCAGGAAATCAGGTAAAAATAAGTTATGAAAGCTCAGCAGACTGAGTACCACTGATACCAACTGTGGTGAGTCTATAGGTACCGAGGCAGTTGCTGCTGAACAAAGCTGTCTAAGGAGGTGAAAACATTACAAACATGTATTCTCCCCTGACATGAAATACATGGAATAATTTCCAACACTTATACATTAAGCCTGGAAACAAGACCAGGATGATAAGAATGCCACAAGTATTCATGAGAAAAGCCAACAGGATAGGAGGTGCACTCCTGAGTCGCTAAGACACCATCATTTACATTTAACTATTTCTACAATATAGTTAAATTAAGGTCAGGGCAATTATTGTATTCCAAAGGCAGTATCAACATAATAAAACAAGGTTGAGGTACCTGCACTACAGTGCACAATTTGAGGGTTCAAACTGTAAATATCACAGGTATATTCTACAACAAGGTCATTATTTTATGATTTAAAACTTACCATGATTGACGGCTAACACTTTCCGACTGTTCATCTTGACAAAGTTTCTGAGTGGGAGCTGCGCATGACCAATGCCTTGCTCTACAGCTTTTTTGTAAGTTATTCCCTGTGGGAAAGGCACC